CCCCCCGACCTGACAGGAAGAATCTTCAGGGGGTTTTATAGCAATTATAAGACATACTGAATAGTTACATATCTCCATATTTGGAAATGAGTCTGACTTGGCTTTTTGAATGGAATAATAAGGGATGTAGGATTCATTCAATTACGTATTATACATGATTCTGCTAAACACAATCATGCAACATCTTCTCTCTTCTCCCTTTTTAACCAACGTAATGACCTCTCCTTTATAAAGTAGACTTCTTTAGGTTAAGATACTAGAACATACCTCTTTGAAAGTAAGCGTGAACAATCACATTATTTGTAATGTTTAGTTAACAGTTAAATATTTAAATATTTAATCAATAGCAAATAGTTAAAATTTGCTTTCTGGTAATATTTATGGTCAGTCACATAAAAATTTATTAATATTAATCCAAAGAGTTTACATCAAACTTCTTATATCAAATTAACTTTTTAGACTAAGCCCACACTGCATTAATATTTTAATTGCCTGCATGCCTCAGTTGCATGGTTCTTGGCAGCATATCACAGGTAGGCTCCCGGATAATATGAAATAAATAATTATAATGCAAAACAAGGGTTGAAAAACTGTTCAAATTGTATAGATAACCTATCAGACACAGATTTGCTGAGGAAAGTGGGAAATGGCAGCAAACAGAGGAAAGATAGGGCAAGAAATAAACGTTAGCGCCATGCATATATCTGTCTGGGAAAACACTGCTAAAGGGAACAGGATCTACTATGGATCCTGATCCCTCTATGGGATAGTAGTAGAAAACTCAGATCTGCTTTCCCTTGAGCAAGTCCTCACCTTCACATCTCCTAACCTTTAAGTAGTTGATTTAGCAACAATAGTATTTTGTTATGCAGAGTTTGATTTTGTTTGTTTAGAAAATATTTGATTTCAGTTACAATATTTTCTAAAACTTTGCTAAGAATTAAGTTGCCCCAAAAATACCATCTGCCCTTTGCCCAACCTAAGCTAATACATTCCTTTTTCTAGTCAATGAAAATTCTCCAAAATTGAACAGTTAAAAAATTTCTCTTCTCACACACTCAATAGAAGTCTGTCAAGGTGTGGTAGTTAAATACCTGTAAGTTTTTATATTCAATGAGAATATTTCACTGTCACATAAAAAGACAAGAAATATCCTATTATAGGTAGTCAGAATGCAATGAGTTGCAATGCCTTGCTATCGGTCCTAAAAGTTGTGTTGCTCAGATGCTTGAGAGTGTTGAATGATGGCAATCCTGTCTCTAAGGAGATGGAGCTCTTTGCTCTTCTTGAGGCAAGGCGGAGAAATAAACTATTTGGCTTTGATACAGGGGTAAATCTGCAACATGGAGTAGGCTGCCTAAAGGACTTTCTGTCAAGAAATGCTGAACAGGGCAGACATGAAAATTGGACCCTAGGAAGTGAGGCAGAGTAAGACTGGGAGCTGAGGTGCCAAAAGAGGCTCAGGCCATCTGAGCATGCAGCCATTCTGAGGCGCTCGGTCTGAGGAACACAGTGGGGAAGGCAAGGTCTCAGCATGGAACACATAGATCCTATGGGAAAGGAGAAAAAACAGGGAAGAAGTGGAGGGGAAACAGGAATGAAAATGTCAGGATTGAGATGAAAAATAGACATTTGTGTCCATAAAAGCAAAGTCCCTTCCAGAAACTCTGTAGAAACCTTAAATCCATGATTTTCATATCCTCTTGCTCTCAGCTGGTAGTCTAAGCAGCTAGCAGCCATAATATTCATATTTTTAATCTTCTTCCATGTTCTTTTATTATATTTTTGCAGTATATTTTTGCATATTTGGTTTATGTGTAATTTTCCATGTATATTATTTGAAAAGACACTTATCTCTAACTGGGTTTAAAATATCCCTGAAATCTACTGATTTTTGCATCCTATCTGACACACGGTACATTTATGTATTTCTTGCAGTGTAGAAATCTGAGGCGTTTCTATGCTCTAATATGACAGCATGCTGGGACATTTCTTGTAAACAGTTGGATAGCATTTGAAAAATATTTAATCTTGTGCCAAAATAGACGCAGTTAATTTTTGATCTTGTTATCATCTTCCATTATCAACTGATATTTCATTCTCTACCCAGCTGTGTTTTGTGACACTGGCTAAGTATTCCACAGTTTTAAAGCTGCATTAAACAAAACTTTGGAGAACAGGAAATATGGTTTTTTAACCTTCATTACAGTTAATTTTTTTATTGTTAGAAATAACCTCAAGCAAGTCATCTCTATGTGTAATTTATGATGAGATCAATAATTACTCATCTAAAAAATCTACACTGCAAGATTTTAAATCTTGCTTAATTACTGATTACCAGTAGGAATATTTCCACTGTGATGTCATATGGCCTCTGACAACACTGATGTGTGGCATGTAGCAGATTTTTAGTTGGTAAGCATATACTGCAGCAAGTTTCCAAACCTTGGAAAAGTGATGTCAACAATTCTTATACTTTGTTAATAATGAAACTCAGAAGACTAAGTCTTATGAATATTCTGTTTAACGTCTTCATTAATGCTTTGGATGATGGGCAGAGTTGTACTTTCAGCCAGTTTGAAGATGACCCCAAACTGGGAGGAGTGGCTGATACACCAGAGGGTCATGCTGCCATTCAGAGGCATGCAGAAATGGACTGGCAGGAACCTCATAAAGTTCAACAAGCAGAAGTGCAAAGTCCTGCACCTGGGGAAGAACAACCCCATGCACTGTTGTATGCGGGGAGCCACCCAGGTGGAAAGCAGCTTGGCAAAAAGACCTAGGGGTCCTGATAGACACTAGGTTGAACATGAGCCAGCAATGTATCCATGAGGTAAAGAAGGCAAATGGTATCCTGGGCACAGGAGGTCCTGTCTGAACATCAGGGAACACTTTATTTTACTGTGAGGGTGACAGAGCACTGGCACAGGTTGCCCAGAGAGGTGGTTGAGTCTCCCTCTTTAGAGATATTCTAAAACCTGAATCCTGGGCAGCTGGCTCTAAGTGGCCCTGCTTGAGGTCCCTTTCAATTTCAAACATTATGTGATTCTGTGATTACATATTTTATATAGGTAAAATGGATTACTGATAAGTATTTTAGAGGGAGGGGAAAGGTAGAGATGAAGTGTTAAAGAAAAGGTTTGTGAAATAGGACAATTACGATCTCTGTACAACATATCATAACTTACTGGCTGTACATTATTCATATTTTATAAAGAAATTTAAGGAAAAATAAAAATCTTATTACTCAGCTCCAAACTATTGAATTAGAATTCAGGCTTGTATTGTTGATACCACAGGGAGTGAAAAGAGATTTTCCTCGTAGAACATTCTTTCTGCTTCATAAATTTACTGTGACTGAGTTCATCATTGAATGTCACTGCATATGTGACTAATACCACATCCATGTGTTGTTGTATATAGCTGCAGGAGTCTTTAGATTTGTTTATTTTTCTTAAAATGAAGATGATACTCTTTTTCACTAAATTATAATTGTCTACTGCCTTCAGTTCCACCAGTCATCCGAGTCTATCCAGAGAGCCAAGCAAGGGAGCCAGGTGTGACTGCTAGCCTTCGGTGCCATGCTGAAGGTATTCCCAATCCACAACTTGGTTGGCTGAAGAACGGAATTGATATCACTCCGAAGTTATCCAAACAGCTAACTCTTCAAGGTAAAGGGACATATTTATCGTTTTCTACAAGTTGCAAGTGCTTTCAGTGCACCTTTTCCATACTAGTTGTCCTTCTTACATAGTTTTAACCAAGGGTTAAAGTCTAAGCTCAAACATTTCAGAAGATGTCTTCTAGTTACTCCCCAATACACCTATCTTCTCTGCTTTCTGTTTGTTAGAATGATTGTTGTATTTACTGGGAGGATTACCAGTAAATTCCAATGTGGTGTTCTCTATTCAGATATATGCAGTTTTTGATTAAAGCAAGCAGCCCAAGACCCACTCCTAACCCAGTATTAGAATTTGTCACTACAACTGTATTGATGCCATTCAATGAGTATTCAACACTAATATCTGAATTGGGAAGCAATGCTTTTGTCTGTAAAGATTTATTCTAATGTGTTGATATTAATCTAGTTATTTTTCATGAGTCCAGATTTAAGTTTAGATCAGAACATGGATGAAACTTTGCCTTTACTGCAGCTCAGTTGAAAACATAAGTTTTTTGACTGGTAAGAATCTCAGTGAGATTTGGGGATCTGATGGGGGAAAGGACAGGAGGAGAAATAACTGAAATGGATATGCTGTTTTCTGAGGGGTCTCAGCAGACTTCCAGGTGAGTGCGAAGACACTGCACAAAAAGAAAAGCAACTAAAGGAAATTCTTACTTTTAATAAACAATAAAAGCCAGTCTGTGAATCTTCATGAATTTTCAGGACTCAACAAATTCAATGAAGATGCCCAGCACTTTGTCCAGCACAAAACTGCAGTCATTTTGGTGATCTTTCGATCAGCTGTAGGAAAAAAAATCTCGTGCTGCCACTTCCCTTTCAAAACTTTCTCTCATTCATCTGCAAAACCAGAATGTGTATTAGGATAGGACAGCAATCAAACTGCAGTGTAAGAAGCAGTGGGACAGGCAGACAGTGAATGCTTCTCTGTAGTCTTACTGTCCCTATAGGGAAAGTCACAGTCCTCTGTTCTTTCATGACCCTCTCTCCTGGATGTGTGTGAACAATTACCTTGCTGAAGCACTTTCCACTATGAGTAGAAAGCGATGGACTCCTCTTTCATAGCAGCATTCTGTTTCTTTCTGTATGAGATTTTCTCCTGTAGGGATTTGAGTGGATTTTTTTTTTCATTCATCTTTGAATCATATATTTATGATAAATAAAGTTGTTCTTCTCTGAGCAAAATACATTTAATTTCATTTTCGTGAATGTACTTATTTGAAGTAAAATTTTGAAAACCTTATTGCATTTTCCTTGAGTTTTTCCTGGGTTAAACTCTCTATGCATTGGCTTCAAACATAAGATGTTGTAGAAGGAGTATTACACCCAGCGCCCCTTCTAGTCCACATTTTCAAATGCCTACAAAGCTGTTTTTGTAAAATAGACCCTACAGTTGAATGAGTGTACTATACTTAAAATGCGATGAATCATTGGTCACATCATTATTCACAACACATTATTTAAAAGACCATTGCCTGTGAAACCTGGACTGTTTGTTGACATTCCTACTCAAGCTGACATACAACTTCTGAAGTAGTTTCCATAGACTCCAACACTGATGTAAGTGTAAAATTCCAAAGAGCCTGGTTTTTCTTTTGTTACACTGTATTCATGTGAAAACAAAACCAGGTGCCTCTGGTTACTAGAAACAAATAATTTTATTAAAGTTATTCTTTATGTTGAAAAATTAGCCCACAATGTTCATGGAAACCTGGGTTATTTTGTGTAAAGCCAGTGATAGTGTCAAGTGACCAAATGCAACATAATAAAAACATAGTATTTACCTGATTTTAAAGACAATCACAGTCATTTAAAAGTATATAAATCCTCAGATGGAGATTTGGCTCTGATGTGCAAAATCAGCTGAGGTATTCCAGATATCCGTGAGAAGAATAATAGTGCATGCAATTCACTAGCCAGTTGAATACCTTTGGATTAGTTTGGCATGCCTCCAAGTTATGAACTCAGGAATGAAAATGGTTCAATTAGTGTGAGCAGAGAAAGTCTTCTGAATGTATAATCTGAAAGCACTGTACCACGTCTGCATGCTTAATTTTTCCTCTCCTTTCAGCAAATGGTAGCGAGGTTCACATTAGCAATGTGCGCTATGAAGATACAGGAGCATATACTTGCATTGCAAAGAATGAAGCAGGGGTGGATGAAGACATTTCTTCTCTTTTTGTAGAAGATTCTGCTCGAAAGACCCGTAAGTATTATGAGAAGTATAAAAATACATGCAGCCCTTACTTAAACACTAAATTGTTATTAAAAACTATGAAACTTTAAATAAATTAAATTAAGCATGTGTGGATAACTGATTAGGAAAAAAAGAAGTTTAAATAATGATATCCAAGAGTCACTGAAGGCAGAGTGTGTAATCTGAAGTTTATTTAGAAGTAAATAAATTTCATTCTGTGAATTGACTTATTTTTCACATTGCTGTCAAAATTTGGATAGTTTGCTCATGATAGATTTGTTGCATATGAAGGGAAGATGAAGGGAGAAAGGAACTCTGGATACCTAAATAAGGCAAAGCAGTAGACCTGATGTGGTTTCTGGGGCTTGATGGGGGTGTGGGAGGAAGACCTTTTCCAATCTTCCTGTATGTTTTTAAGATATACGAAGAGTCAAACCTGGCCTTCGTGACATGAGAGTCATCACAGGACTTGATCTCACCTGCTGGTATGCTCAGCAGGTCCAGATCAGTTCCAGCCTGCCCATACTGTTTTGTGCCTGGGTAACTGTGGCTCTCCAGAAATCTGGGCAACAGTGACCACACTCACTTGCTAAGTTGGGAGTTCAGTGTGCCAAAGAAATGTCTACCACTGCCAAAAAGTAGCTTGCTTTATCCTCTGTTGAATGGTAGTGGGGCTTATAAACCCCGTTTACCTGGTTTTTGTCTGCCTTCATACTTCTTTCCCCTTCCCTTTCTTTACTCTGGTCAGAAAAATCTATTCCTGAGTTCACACTTCACCTGTTTGGTTTTGCCTTTTTTTGTCCTTTTTTTTTTTTTTTTTCTTTTAAATCCTTTATTTTAAAAAATACTACATATTCATTAGAAATATATCTAGTAACATGATAGTTATTTTACTAGTGAGTCTGATCGCATCAACTTAAGGCATTCTTATTTATGTAGAATTTTATTCAACACTGCCAAGTACTCAACAGAAGATACAAGAAGCAGGATTAGTAAAACTGCAAGTCTGCCTGACTCTTTTGTCGCAAGACACTGAGTTCAGTTACATGTAGGTTTATTGAGCTGTAAACATTTCAGAAGAAATCTTCCATGCAGGAAAATTTTCTAATCCTAATGTTAATATCTTTACTTAGCTGCTTTCAGTAACACTAATTATAGCTGTCATTTCAAAAATCTTAATGTGTTTAAGTGCCATGAAAATGACTGCTCAGACATTTCTGAGGGCAGCTAAGGATAAATAAGTTGTTTGATCATGCTGAATTTCTGGTAATCTGGTGATATGAAGTAGCTCAGTCACCTCCATTTGTCTTTTGCAGTCTGTGAAAAATGTTATGAATGCTGCCAAATCACAAAACCCTGACAAACTTAGAATTTGTTTATCCTTGGTTAAGACTTGTTTGGCCTTAACAACAAAACATTTATAACCAACTGTCCAGTTTCCAAGTGTTTTAGTTATCTAACTTTTGTATCCTCTGAAGATCTGTTCTGTAGTTATTATACAGGAATATCCACACCTATGCAAATACTGTTTTCAGGAATTTTAATGTGATGCAATAATTTTAGATCATCTAACTTTACAGGATTTGTAAACTCCCGTGCTATGTAAAGAACACTGCTTGCAATAAATGCTTTAAAATCTTCTAGTAACAAGTTGTTATGATGACCACTGGTGTCATGAAGGATGGAAATGAAGGAAGAAAGAATATAAATAGGATTATTTCTAAGACAATTCAGCTAAAAGCCAAGGTCTCCTCCCTTCCTATAAAAGTAATTTACTCTGCAAGTTCTATGTTGTATGTTGAAGGGAGGCATTTTACCATGGTGTTCCCTGGTGTCTGAACACGGTTTCTTAAAAAACTAGTAGATGTGTAAAAATGCAGGTAGTCCATAGCTGCATAATTATATCCTTCAAATATAGATGCAACAGATATTTACGTGAGATGCTTTCTCTGATACTCCGATTCACTTACTTTGGCTCAGAAACCCATTTCTGTACATGCAAGCAGACTAAGGTACGTACCAATAAAAAATGCAGCTACCAGCAATATCATTATCACAACTACACGAATAAACTGCCTTCACGGGTACAAATTTTGATAGATGCATTTTTAAAATAATGTTTCTGTTTAAATAAAGTCCCTGTATAGGAGTTGCTAGTATTAGAAAACTGAAATTAAGAGTAGAAGGGCTTTATTATTAACTTTTTTCTGCTTGTTTTTATATTTGTTCCAAAACATTGATTCATGCAGCAAATTAGGGTTTCTTAGCGAAGAAAATGACATAGGTAAAACCACCTGGATAGGATTGTAGACTTTTGTTCCCTCACCCACATGTTTGAAAAACAATGCTACCACTGCTTTAATTTAAAGCCTGCTGATTAGGTCACAAGTTGAGTTCTAAAGAGAGTCTCTGGTGATGTAAATGTGATTTCACATGATCTGATATAAACTATACGTGTCATAGATGACATTTTTATAGATAATTTTGCTTTTATCTTACTTCAAGAGAATAAAGCAGATGTGTTTACTATTTTTTTTTTCCCCCTTTACTGGAGTACTCCCTTCTGGAAATTTTAGGATATTGCTTTGAACAAAAGTAGAACAGATTCTCACTAGCTTGTCAGTTAATCTGGGCTTGTCTACATTTTAAGTGTCACATAAGGTAAAAAACATAGCAAAATAAAAAGCATTTTAGAACACTGAGTTGATTAGCTATGGAGAGGATAGTGAGAACTTTTGCAGTGTTGCTCTAAAATATAAACTACAATTGCACTGTATTGAGCATAACAGTAATTTTATAAGCCACATAGTGAATACAGAACATGGTTCCATGTTTACCAGTGTATGTATTTTATTCCCTAGAAAGTTTAATAGTCAAAGGAAATGTTCATTTTTGTACTTATCTGACCCATTATTTATGTGCATATGAAAGCTTTTGGGTTTTAATGCTACTTTGCATAATAAGCTACATTTTTGGTAGTTATCAGTGGAATCTCATTTTCAACACATCCGAAATTTATTATGTGGAAAACTCAGTACCATGCTTTGAGAAAAATTTAATATATGTAACAGAAAGGGCATGGCTAGCTTACTCCTTTGGGAATGGGGAGTATAAACAGCTCCAAAGAGAAAATCGCATATTTTCTGGCACCTCTGCCTAAATTAAAGCCAGTGCCATTACGGATAAATAGATTGTTAAATAATAAGCAAAGCTTTCCTTCACCTGCATGCCTAAAAATGTTATCAGATTGCTAGGTTTTCAAAATTCAAAATATTGGTTACAGAGGCATCTAGTGCATGTATTATAAAAAGGAAAGAATTAGAGTGAATGGCAAACCTGTACTGAATAGCGTACAGTGTGATGCTAGTAGCAGAAATAAAAATATATAATGTAGAGTATGACTTAGGGGTGCCAGGGCATTGTTTATTTTAAAGTTTCCAGTTTCAGAAATTTTAATTCTGGTTCCCAAGAAAATTCATTATGCTTTAATAATGATTTGTCATCAAGATGGTACCTTGTGATGGAAGTGCATGGAACATATTCTGGAAGTGCTTTGTCATCCAAATCTGCTCGGTAGATGCCAGCACTGAACACCAAACCATTGTTCTATCACACATAGGTGAAACTTGTAATAGTGGGTGAAAGTCTCAAAAATAGTTTGGCCTCTTAACACGTCAGCCTTTTTCAACATGCACTAAAAATAAAATTTCTGAAAATATGCTTTCGTTTTGGCATTGTCTCAGGTGAGAGGAATTAATTATTTTTTTCTTGAAAATATCGTAACTTCAGCATTGTCTTTTGCCAGTTAACTCATTCGGTAGCTGAAATTTTATATACTAGACATCTGTGTCCAAACACATACAAACTTTTTGCTAGATTTGTGAAGTTGTGATGGAAATTTTTAGTTTATATTACCTATATAAACATCTTTATAAGTATGGGTGATAAATATCTGGTGCTGTCTATATCAGAACCTGTTTAATTCTTCTGATCTCAAGCATTTAGATTGAAGCATTCTGTATTGCTGTCTGTCTCAAACAACAGCTTTTTTGTTGCTTTTAATTTGTAACGTTTCTGGTAATACACTATGGCCAATCCTGAAACAGATGTTAGGAAGAAAACATGATTTTACTCATGTTAAAAAAGCTACAGTCATTTTACTGAAAGATTTTTACATCACAATCTGGGACTTGATATTGGTGGTTCATGCAGTGAGATTCTCACTAGAATATACTGCAACAAAAATAATGATTTCTGCGGTGTTTGACACAGTAAAAATCTCCAAGCAATTGGTGATTTATATAGTAAGTGGACACTTCTTGGGAGTTTGGAAGAGTCCTGAAGATGTCATTTGCCCTTGGTAGACCCAGACTTTAGGACTACCAGAACAAAATAAATTCTCAATGTAACTACTTTGGGTTTTTGTGGATGTGAAAGTGAGGATAACTTTCTTCTTGGATCCTTGAGTGGTCCTCCAAGGAGAGATAGGTAAGGAGGTAGGTAATAAGACTGAGTAAATTGAAGTCAAGTGAAAGAGACTGATGGAGAAGGAAAATGGAAGAGGCCAATAATGTGAGAAAGAAAGGGAGGACACAGGCAGCAGCAGGTTGAAAGAGGACAGGTTTGAGAACACTTAAACACTGAAGGAGAAAGAATGGAAGGAAAAAGGGATAGGAGCAAAAGGGCAAAATGATCTCTTAAAAGCTAAATAATAATCCTCTATAAGATGTGGAGTTGCATCCAGGAGTACTTAGTCACTTTAGTGTCCTGTCATTAAATTTCTCTGGTCACACAGTGACAATGTGCATCTTATACTGCTGCTCCTTTTTAATCCGTGTAGAGAATAACACTACTTCTACTAGCAATTAAACATGAGAGATATCAGGGAAGACTGAACTTTCTATTGTTCTAGTAAGTGGAACATTTTATTTAACTTGCCTTTTTATGTAAAACAGCATTTTGGAGTATAAATATATATTAAAGGGAAATCTGCAAACATGAAAAAAAAT